CTATGGGTTTCTATGTGAGTCTATGGGTCTGTATGAGAGTCTATGGGTCTCTATGTGAGTCTATGGGTCTCTGTGCGAGTCTATGGGTCTCTATGTGAGTCTATGGGTCTGTTTGAGAGTCTTTGGGTCTGTATGTGAGTCGATGGGTATGTTTGTGAGTCTATGGGTCTCTGTGTGAGTCTAGGGGTCTCTATGTGAGTATATGGGTCTCTATGTGAGTCTAGGGGTCTCTATGTGAGTCTATGGGTCCCTATGTGAGTCTATGGGTCTCTGTGTGAGCCTATGGGTCTCAATGTATGCTCACTGCTCGATATGTGAGTCTCTGTGTCTGTGTGATTCTAAGATCATTCATGAGAGTCTATGGGTCTCTATGTGAGTCTATGGGTCTCTGTGCGAGTCTATGGGTCTCTATGTGAGTCTATGGGTCTGTTTGAGAGTCTTTGGGTCTGTATGTGAGTCGATGGGTATGTTTGTGAGTCTATGGGTCTCTGTGTGAGTATAGGGGTCTCTATGTGAGTATATGGGTCCCTATGTGAGTCTAGGGGTCTCTATGTGAGTCTATGGGTCCCTATGTGAGTCTATGGGTCTCTGTGTGAGCCTATGGGTCTCAATGTATGCTCACTGCTCGATATGTGAGTCTCTGTGTCTGTGTGATTCTAAGATCATTCATGAGAGTCTGTGGGTTTCTGAGTCGATGGGTCTCTATGTATATGGGGCTCTATGGAAGTAAATGGGTCTCCATTTAAGTCCATGGGTTTCTGAGTCTATGGGTCTCTATGTGAGTCTACGGGTCTCTGTGTGAGTTCATGGGTCTCTGTGTGAGTCTATGGGTCTTTGAGTCAGTCTTTCGGTCACTATGTGAGTCGAAGGCTCTCCATGTGAGTCTATGTGTTTCTAAGTCTATGGGTCTCTATGTCAGTCTATGGGTCTCTGTGTGAGTCTATGGGCTGTTGTGTGAGTCTATAGGTCTCTATGTGAGTCTACGGGTCTCTGTATGGGTCTACGGGTCTCTGTATGAGTCTATGGGTCTCTGTGTGAGCCTATGGGTCTCTGTGTGAGTCTATGGTTTCTATGTGAGTCGATGGGTCTCTGTGTGAGTCTATAGGCTGTTGTGTGAGTCTATAGGTCTCTATGTGAGTCTATGGGTCTCTGTGTGAGTCTATGGGTCTCTGTGTGAGCCTATGGGTCTCTATGTGAGTCTATGGGTCTCTGTGTGAAGCTATGGGTCTCTGTGTGAGTCTATGGGTCTATATGTGAGTCTACGGGTCTCTGTGTGGGTCTACGGGTCTCTGTGTGAGTCTATGGGTTTCTATGTGAGTCTACGGGTCTCTGTGTGAGTCGATGGGTCTCTGTGCGAGTCTACGATTCTCTATGCGAGTGTATATGTATCTATGTGAGTACATGGGTCTCTTTGAGAGTCCACGGGTCTCTGTGTGAGTCTATGGGTCTCTATGCGTCATGTCTATGGATACTGTCCACCGTTAGTAGCCATCATCACTTTGGCGGGGGGTGGAAATAATTATTTAATAAAAAGCCAACGCCTCATTGAATAAGTTTGCTAATTTATTTCATTAAAAAAATAACACCCACCCCCAACACACAAACACTTAATTTGCATATTACGTCGTTGATGACGAACTCAACAAAAAAACAACCAACCCCCCCCCCCCGGCGGGCACGTGGCGCTTCCGGGCGGGCACGTGGCGCTTCCGGCGGGCACGTGGCGCTTCCGGCGGGCACGTGACGCTTCCGGGCGGGCACGTGACGCTTCCGGGCGGGCACGTGACGCTTCCGGCGGGCACGTGGCGCTTCCGGCGGGCACGTGACGGAGGGCGAAGGACGCCGACGAATTGGGGGAGGGGTAGGGTGGTGATGGTGGTGGTGGTGAGGAGGAGGAGTCGCGCCGTGTAAGTGCAGCGGCTTCTCGTTGCCCGCAGGAACAACGAATGAGACGGTGCGATCTTGATTTTGAAGCTTTCGCGGCTTGCAGGAATCCCACACAACCCTTTGGAGATTTCGGTGAAGTCGCCGCGCGGGTAGAGACAGCGGCCGAGATCTCGCGACGTTTCAATCGCAACGCGGGTGACCGTGACTTTACCGAGATGATGCAAACCACTCCCCCCTCCCCTCCCCCCCCGTGACCCCCCCGTGACCCCCCCTCCCCCCGTGACCCCACCCCCCCACCCCCTTACAAAAACCGCACAACCAAATTCGACTCGACACACGACGCGAAGGGACAACGCCTAGGGGCACCCCCAGTGGCAGCTGTCTCTGTGCATCAGTCTGTCAGTAGTAGGGGTGGTGATGATTGTTGCTGCTGTGTGGTCTAGCCTAGGGGACCCTAGCGGACAGTGTGAGACAGTTGGGATGGGACAGTGTGAGACAGTTGGGATGGGACAGTGTGAGACAGTTGGGATGGGATAGTATGAGACAGTTGAACAGGACAGTGTGAGACAGTTGGGATGGGACAGTGTGAGACAGTTGGGACGGGACAGTATGAGACAGTTGAACAGGACAGTATGAGACAGTTGGGACGGGACAGTGCGAGACAGTTGGGATGGGACAGTATGAGACAGTTGGGAGGGGACAGTATGAGACAGTTGGGATGGGACAGTATGAGACAGTTGGGAGGGGACAGTATGAGACAGTTGGGACGGGACAGTATGAGACAGTTGGAACGGGACAGTGTGAGACGGTTGGGATGGGACAGTATGAGACAGTTGAACAGGACAGTATGAGACAGTTGAACAGGACAGTTTGAGACAGTTGGGACGGGACAGTGTGAGACAGTTGGGATGGGACAGTATGAGACAGTTAGGATGGGACAGTGTGAGACAGTTTGGATGGGACAGTATGAAATAGGTGGGATGGGACAGTATGAGACAGTTGAACAGGACAGTGTGAGACACTTGGGATGGGACAGTATGAGACAGTTGGGATGGGACAGTATGAGACAGTTGGGACGGGACAGTATGAGACAGTTGGGACGGGACAGTGTGAGACGGTTGGGACGAGACAGTATGAGACAGTTGAACAGGACAGTATGAGACAGTTGGGACGGGACAGTGTGAGACAGTTGGGATGGGACAGTATGAGACAGTTGGGAGGGGACAGTATGAGACAGTTGGGACGGGACAGTATGAGACAGTTGGGATGGGACAGTGTGAGACAGTTGGGATGGGACAGTATGAGACAGTTGGGATGGGACAGTGTGAGACAGGTGGGACGGGACAGTGTGAGACAGTTGGGATGGGACAGTGTGAGACAGTTGGGATGGGACAGTGTGAGACAGTTTGGATGGGACAGTGTGAGACAGTTGAACAGGACAGTGTGAGACAGTTGGGATGGGGCAGTGTGAGACAGTTGGGATGGGACAGTGTGAGACAGTTGGGATCGGACAGTGTGAGACAGTTGGGATGGAACAGTGTGAGACAGTTGGGATGGGACAGTGTGAGACAGTTGGGATGGGACAGTGTGAGACAGTTTGGATGGGACAGTGTGAGACAATTGGGATGGGACAGTGTGAGACAGTTTGGATGGGACAGTGTGAGACAGTTGGGATGGGACAGTGTGAGACAGTTTGGATGGGACAGTGTGAGACAGTTGGGATGGGACAGTGTGAAACAGTTGGGATGGGACAGTGTGAGACAGTTGGGATGGGACAGTGTGAGACAGTTGGGATGGGACAGTGTGAGACAGTTTGGATGGGACAGTGTGAGACAATTGGGATGGGACAGTGTGAGACAGTTTGGATGGGACAGTGTGAGACAGTTGGGATGGAACAGTATGAGACAGTTGGGATGGGACAGTATGAGACAGGTGGGACGGGACAGTGTGAGACAGTTTGGATGGGACAGTGTGAGACAGTTGGGACGGGACAGTACGAGACAGTTTGGATGGGACAGTGTGAGACAGTATGAGACAGTTTGGATGGGACAGTGTGAGACAGTTGGGACGGGACAGTGTGAGACAGTTTGGATGGGACAGTGTGAGACAGTTGGGACGGGACAGTGTGAGACAGTGAGCCGCCCGTTCGTGGGGACTGCTTGAGAGAGACTGATGGGAGTTTGTATCCGTTGATCAACAACTTGAGTAACAATTCATTCTCGGCTAAGAAACATTGATTAAGTAATACTTCATCACCTCGTTCGTGTCTGTCCTCAATTGTATGGCAATGTGTAAATAAGGACCTGGCCTGGAAATGTGGAAGGACTTATGTCAATGCTCATCACGGATGACAGACAGCCATTAAAAAGACAACCAGAGCTAGGGCTCGAACACAGGACCTCAGCAGTGATAGGTCAGGGTCTCCGATCTGGCCATTGTGAATGCAAAGAGAGAGACACCCAGACCCCGAGCAGGAACCCAGTCTCTCAGTGTCTCCGACACGGCCATCGTGAACCCACTGAGAGAGAGACACCCAGAACCAGGGCTCCAACCCAGCGTCTCAGCGTCTCTGACACGGCCATCGTGAACCCACTGACAGAGAGACACCCAGACCCAGGGATTGAACCCAGCCTCTCGGTGTCTCCGACACGGCCATCGTGAACCCACTAAGAGACACCCAGACCCAGGGCTCGAACCCAGCGTCTCAGTGTCTATGACACGGCCATCGTGAACCCACTGAGAGAGACACCCAGACCCAGGGCTCGAACCCAGCCTCTCAGTGTCTCCGACACGGCCATCGTGAACCCACTGAGAGAGAGAGACCCAGACCCAGGGCTCGAACCCAGCCTCTCAGTGTCTCTGACACGGCCATCGTGAACTCACTGAGAGAGAGAGACACCCAGACCCAGGGCTCGAACCCTGCCTCTCGGCGTCTCTGACACAGCCATCGTGAACCCACTGAGAGAGAGACACCCAGACCCAGGGCTCGAACCCAGCCTCTCGGTGTCTCCGACACGGCCATCGTGAACCCACTGAGAGAGAGACACCCAGACCCAGGGCTCGAACCCAGCCTCTCGGTGTCTCTGACACGGCCATCGTGAACCCACTGAGAGAGAGACACCCAGACCCAGGGCTCGAACCCAGCCTCTCAGTGTCTCCGACACGGCCATCGTGAACCCACTGAGAGAGAGAAACCCAGACCCAGGGCTCGAACCCAGCCTCTCAGTCTCTGACATGGTCGTCGTGAGCCCGGTCCCTCTAGTGGAGGGGTTTGTCACGGAGCTGGGTGAGGATTTTTTGGCGGTGAAACGCGTTCACCACACCGGCCTCTAGGAGCTCCGCGTCTGAGATCTCCCTGCGCGGCACACGTACGGCACACACATGGAACACGGTTACGTTTCACAACCTGGCACACGCACGACACATTGCATGGAACAACGGTGACACGTGGTGAGCCCTCCCTCCCTCCCTGCATCATAGACTCAACACCGCACCATAGACTCAACACCCCCCCATAGACTCAACACCGCACCATAGACTGAACACTGCACCATAGACTCAACACTGCACGTAGACTCAACACGACATCATAGACTCAACACTGCACCATAGACTCAACACTGCGCCGTAGACTCAACACTGCACCATAGACTCAACACTGCACCGTAGACTCAACACTGCACCATAGACTCAACACTGCACCATAGACTCAACACTCCCCCATAGATTCAACACTGCACCATAGACTCAACACTGCACCATAGACTCAACACTCCCCATAGACTCAACACTGCGCCGTAGACTCAACACCGTCCCATAGATTCAACACTCCCCCATAGACTCAACACTGCACCATAGACTCAACACTGCACCGTAGACTCAACACTGCCCATAGACTCAACACTGCCCATAGACTCAACACCGTCCCATAGATTCAACACTCCCCCTTAGACTCAACACTGCACCATAGACTCAACACCACACCATAGACTCAACACTACCCATAGACTCAACACTGCACCGTAGACTCAACACTGCACCATAGACTCAACACTGCACCATAGACTCAACACTGCACCATAGATTTAACACGACACCACAGACTCAACACTGCACCGTAGACTCAACACTGCACCATAGACTCAACACTGCACCATAGACTCAACACTGCACCATAGACTCAACACTGCACCATAGACAACACTGCACCATAGACTCAACACTGCACCATAGACTCAACACTCCCCCATAGATTCAACACTGCTCCATAGACTCAACACTGCGCCGTAGACTCAACACTGCCCATAGACTCAACACTGCACCATAGACTCAACACTGCACCATAGACTCAACACTGCAAATAGACTCAGCACTGCACCATAGACTCAACACTGCACCATATACTTAACACTGCACCATAGACTCAACACTGCACATAGACTCAACACTGTACATAGACTCAACACTGCACCATAGACTCAACACTGCACCATAGACTCAACACTGCACCATAGACTCAACACTGCCCATAGACTCAACACTGACCATAGACTCAACACTGCACCGGTCACCACCACCATCACCACCACCACCATCACCACCACCACCATCACCACCACCACCATCACCACCACCATCACCACCATCACCACCATCACCACCTCCACCATCACCACCATCCCCACCATCACCACCACCACTATCACCACCACCATCACCACCATCACCACCATCACCATCACCACCATCACCACCACCACCATCACCACCATCACCATCACCACCACCATCACCACCACCACTATCACCACCATCACCACCACCATCACCACCACCACTATCACCACCACCACCATCACCACCATCACCACCACCATCACCACCACCATCACCACCACCACCATCACCACCACCATCACCACCACCATCACCACCACCACCACCATCACCACCACCATCACCACCACCACCATCACCACCATCTCCACCATCACTACCACCATCACCACCACCACCATCACCACCACCACCATCACCACCATCACCACCACCACCATCACCACCACCACCATCACCACCACCACCACCATCACCACCACCATCACCACCACCATCACCACCACCATCACCACCACCACCATCACCACCATCACCACCACCACCACCATCACCACCACCACCATCACCACCACCACCACCATCACCACCACCACCACCACCATCACCACCACCACCATCACCACCACCATCACCACCACCACCATCACCACCAGCAGCTGCAGCTCACCCCAAGAAGTCCACGTGATCCCAGCCATGCCCGACGAGCCTCTCTGCGTACACCTCGAGGCCCAGCAGGGCCAGCCACTCCTCAACACCACGTGGGGGCGGGGGTGGGGGCGGGGGGATCCCCCCCGCCCCTCCTCCACCCCCACGCGCCACCAACCTCCCCTCCGACTCCTGTGACGCGTCACGGCGAGGAACGCAAACAGGATGTGACGTCACAGGCACCATCCGCCCCACCACCCCCACCCCGTGTAGGGGCACGTGCTGTGAGCGAGCAGGAGCTCCTATATAGACACAGACAAAGGTCCCCCGTGTAGCCTCTAACAGGCTGTAGGGGCAAGTGCTGTGAGTAGCAGCAGCACCTGTGAAGGTAGACACAGACAAAGGTCCCCCGTGTAGCCTCTAACAGACTGTAGGGGCAAGTGCTGTGAGTAGCAGCAGCACCTGTGAAGGTAGACACAGACAAAGGTCCCCCGTGTAGCCTCTAACAGACTGTAGGGGCAAGTGCTGCGGGTAGCGAGTAGCAGCAGCACCTGTGAAGGTAGACACAGACAAAGGTCCCCCGTGTAGCTTCTAACAGGCTGTAGGGGCAAGTGCTGTTAGTAGCGAGTAGCAGCACCTGTGAAGGTAGACACAGACAAAGGTCCCCCGTGTAGCCTCTAACAGACTGCAGGGGCAAGTGCTCTGAGTAGCGAGTAGCAGCACCTGTGAAGGTAGACACAGACAAAGGTCCCCCGTGTAGCCTCTAACAGACTGTAGGGGCAAGTGCTGCGGGTAGCGAGTAGCAGCAGCACCTGTGAAGGTAGACACAGACAAAGGTCCCCCGTGTAGCCTCTAACAGGCTGTAGGGGCAAGTGCTGTTAGTAGCGAGTAGCAGCACCTGTGAAGGTAGACACAGACAAAGGTCCCCCGTGTAGCCTCTAACAGACTGCAGGGGCAAGTGCTGTTAGGGAGCAGCGGAATCTATGATGGAGGCGCTGTGTGGCAAGCACCATGCCTGCCCGGCCGCCTTTGTCTCCCCACTGCTGATGTTCACGCAGGCACTGGACGAGGTAAACATTTTAAGGCTGAGTCGACCTAGGGGAAGGCTCGGACTGGTTCAGAACAAGTCGTCAACGGATGTTGGTGGCGTTGATGACGACGGTGATGGTGATGATGGTGATGATGGTGATGGCGATGGCGGTGATGGTGATAATAATGATGGTAAAGATGGTGATGGTGGTGATGGTGATGGTGGTGATGGCGATGACCACAACGACGATGGTGATGATGGTGATGGCGGTGATGGCGGTGACGACGATGATAATGATGGCGATGATGGTGATGATGGTGATGGCAGTGATGACGACGATAATGATGGTGACGATGGTGATGGTGGTGACGATAATGACGGTGACAATGGTGATGATGGTGATGACAGTGACGATGGTGATGGCGGTGACGATAATGATGGTGATGATGATGGTGATGATGGTGACGATGGTGATGATGGTGATGGTGGTGACGATAACGACGGTGACGATGGTGATGATGGTGATGGTGGTGACGATAATGATGGTGACGATGGTGATGATGATGATGGCGGTGATGGCGGTTATGGCGACGATAATGATGGTGATGATGGTGACGATAATGATGGTGACGATGGTGATGGTGGTGACAATAATGATGGTGATGGTGGTGACGATAATGATGGTGATGGTGGTGACGATAATGATGGTGATGGTGGTGACGATAATGATGGTGACGGTGGTGACGATAATGATGGTGATGGTGGTGACGATAATGATGGTGACGATGGTGATGGTTGGTGACAATAATGATGGTGGTGACAATAATGATGGTGATGGTGGTGACAATAATGATGGTGATGGTGGTGACGATAATGATGGTGATGATGGTGATGGTGGTGACGATAATGATGGTGATGATGGTGACGATAATGATGGTGATGGTGGTGACGATAATGATGGTGATGGTGGTGACGATAATGATGGTGATGGTGGTGACGATAATGATGATGGTGATGGCGGTGATGATAACGATGGTGACAATGGTGATGATGGTGACGATAATGATGGTGATGATGGTGATGTATACTCTTTGGTTCTATTGGGTAAAGTCACGTAGGTAAAAATAAAACAACAAAAATCACGACGTTTCGGCCACAACACAAGCGGCCTTCATCAGGCGAAGGGACCGGACTGTCTCGAGGACAGCGCTGGAGTGAAACACAGCCAAGCTCAGAACGAGACCTTTAAGCTGTGTGAGAGTAATTAAGGTGCCTTGACAAAGGAATTAGCATGAACCTTAGCATTTTAATAGGCGGACTTAGCATGATGAAAGGTGGGGAGGAGGTCGACCTGTGCAGGCTGGCGAGGGGACAAGGTAGAGTCCACATGCCGGTGGTGTGAAAAGGGGATTTTAAGAATCTGCGAAAGTTTGGGGTACCTCTACTTGAAAAATATACTGTACTATTGAAAATAAGTTTAATGTTTGGTTCGATTTAGAACATCTTTCCACCTGATGAAGGCCGCTTGTGTTGTGGCCGAAACGTCGTGAATTTTTGTTGTTTTATTTTTTTCCTACGGGACTTTATCGAATAGAACCAAAGAGTATGGATCCTTGCAGTCACGAAAGCTTCAAATCTAGAAATGATGGTGATGGTGGTGACGATAATGATGGTGAAGGTGGTGACGATAATGATGGTGACGATGGTTATGGTGGTGACGATAATAATGATGGTGATGGTGGTGACGATAATGACGGTGACGATGGTGATGATGGTGGTGACGATAATGATGGTGACGATGGTGATGGTGGTGACGATAATAATGATGGTGATGATGGTGACGATAATGATGGTGATGGTGGTGACGATAATGACGGTGACGATGGTGACGACGGTGACGGTGGTGACGACCGTGACGATGGTGACGATGGTGACGATGGTGATGGCGGTGACGATGGTGATGGTGGTGACGATAATAATGATGGTGATGGTGATGACGATAATGACGGTGACGATGGTGACGACGGTGACGGTGGTGACGACCGTGACGATGGTGACGATGGTGACGATGGTGACGGCGGTGACGATGGTGACGATGGTGACGATGGTGATGATGACGACGATGGTGACGACGGTGACGATGGTGACGATGGTGATGATGACGACGATGGTGACGATGGTGACGACCGTGACGATGGTGACGGCGGTGACGATGGTGACGATGGTGACGATGGTGACGATGGTGACGATGGTGACGATGGTGACGATGGTGACGATGGTGACGATGGTGACGATGGTGACGACGGTGACGATGGTGACGATGGTGACGATGGTGACGACACTCACGTTGGCTCCGCCTGGCGCCGCCGGCACCGCGCCGCACTCCCGCTTCCTCGACTTCACCGGCAGCGGCGGCTGCGGAAGTTTTCCTAAACCTCCTCCACCACCTCCTCCACCACCTCCTCCTCCTCCTCCCCCACCTCCTCCTCCATCCTCCAACTCGGCCAGCAGCGCCTCCTGGCTCCGTGACCTCACCATCGTGCGTCTGGGAGCGGCCCGTGGCACCCCCACGCCCTGAGCCTCTCCTCCTCCTCCACCGCCTCCTCCGCCTCCTCCACCTCCTCCGCCTCCTCCACATCCGCCTCCTCCGCCTCCTCCGCCTCCTCCACCTCCTCCGCCTCCTCCTCCTCCCGCGGGCGGCTCGGCCACGCGCGGGGACAGCGGCCTGCAGCCCGGCTGGTGCTGGGCGCGGTTGAGCGGGTGGCCCGGCAGAGGCGGCGAGGGCACCGGCGGCTTGACGGGCCGCTGGCGACCCGCCGCGGCGCTCGCCACAGGGGGCCTCCCGCCGGCCTTCTTGTTGGCCTGCCGAGCCAGGTCCGAGATGTTGGGGCCCGGCACGCCGTGCCTCTTACCTACGTTGCCGCCGCCGCCTGATGATGATGATGATGGCGACGGCGATGGCGACGACGATGGATGAGGTGGACCTGCCGCTGACGACGAGGACGAGGACGAGGACGCCGACGAGGACGCCGAAGAGGACGCGGCGCCGGCGGCGGTGCCGACGGGAGGATCGGGAACGCCGAGGAAGGACCTGGCCTGGCGTGCCCTGCCGTCGCCCGGCAGGCCCTTGAGCTCCGGTTGCACGTTGCGCACCTGGCGGGGGGGGGGGCAGGTTCAGGGGGTCAGGGTCGTGACCTCCTGGATCTGACCTCCAGGGGAGGGGTGGGGGAGGGAGGGACGGTGGGCGGGGAAGGGGCGCCACACCAGACACCCCACCAGGCACCCCACCAGACACCCCACCAGACACCCCACCAGACGCCCCACCAGACACCCCACCAGACACCCCACCAGACACCCCACCAGACACCCCACCAGACACCCCACCAGGCACCCCACCAGGCACCCCACCAGACACCCCACCAGGCACCCCACCAGGCACCCCACCAGACACCCCACCAGACACCCCACCAGACACCCCACCAGGCACCCCACCAGACACCCCACCAGACACCCCACCAGACACCCCACCAGGCACCCCACCAGGCACCCCACCAGGCACCCCACCAGGCACCCCACCAGACACCCCACCAGACACCCCACCAGACACCCCACCAGGCACCCCACCAGGCACCCCACCAGGCGCCCCACCAGACACCCCACCAGGCACCCCACCAGACACCCCACCAGACACCCCACCAGGCACCCCACCAGACACCCCACCAGACACCCCACCAGACACCCCACCAGGCGCCCCACCAGATACCCCACCAGGCACCCCACCAGACACCCCACCAGACACCCCACCAGACACCCCACCAGACACCCCACCAGACACCCCACCAGGCACCCCACCAGGCACCCCACCAGACACCCCACCAGGCACCCCACCAGGCACCCCACCAGACACCCCACCAGACACCCCACCAGACACCCCACCAGACACCCCACCAGACACCCCACCAGACATCCCACCAGGCACCCCACCAGGCACCCCACCAGACACCCCACCAGGCACCCCACCAGGCACCCCACCAGGCGCCCCACCAGGCACCCCACCAGACACCCCACCAGACACCCCACCAGACACCCCACCAGACACCCCACCAGGCACCCCACCAGGCACCCCACCAGGCACCCCACCAGGCCCCCCACCAGGCACCCCACCAGACACCCCACCAGACACCCCACCAGACACCCCACCAGGCACCCCACCAGACACCCCACCAGGCACCCCACAAGACACCCCACCAGGCACCCCACAAGACACCCCACCAGGCACCCCACCAGACGCCCCACCAGGCACCCCACCAGACACCCCACCAGACACCCCACCAGGCACCCCACCAGGCACCCCACCAGGCACCCCACCAGGCACCCTACCAGACACCCCACCAGACATGCCACCAGACACCCCACCAGGCACCCCACCAGGCACCCCACCAGACACCCCACCAGACACCCCACCAGGCACCCCACCAGACACCCCACCAGGCACCCCACCAGGCACCCCACCAGGCACCCCACCAGACACCCCACCAGACACCCCACCAGGCACCCCACCAGACACCCCACCAGACACCCCACCAGACACTCCACCAGACACCCCACCAGGCACCCCACCAGGCACCCCACCAGACACCCCACCAGACACCCCACCAGGCACCCCACCAGACACCCCACCAGACACCCCACCAGGCACCCCACCAGACACCCCACCAGACACCCCACCAGACACCCCACCAGACACCCCACCAGGCACCCCACCAGGCACCCCACCAGGCACCCCACCAGGCACCCCACCAGGCACCCCACCAGGCACCCCACCTGTTTAGACGAGGCGTAGAGGGGGTTGTCTACGAGCTCCGACACGGCCGGAGTGCAGTCGTCATAGAAGAATGGCCGCGGTGGGAACTGCGATGGAGAGAGGCCGCCCGGCGTGACGCCGGGGCCGGCCGCACCGGGCCCGGCCACCGTGGCCGTGGGCAGAGGCCCACTCCGCGTGGGGGACACGTGGCTACGTGGCCTCTCCCTGCGGCGGAGAGAGGTGACGAGGTCACGGACGGCGACGACGACGATGATGATGATGATGACGGTGATGACGGTGATGACGGTGACGATGGTAATGATGACGATGATGACGATGGCGATGGCGATGATGACGATGGCGATGACGATGACGATGGCGACGACGATGATGATGACGGTGATGACGATGATGATGACAGTGATGACGATGATAACAATGGCAACGACGATGATGATGACGGTGATGACGATGATGATGGTGATGATGATGATGACAGTGATGACGATGGCGATGACGATAACGATGGCAACGACGATGATGACGGTGATGACGATGATGATGGTGATGATGATGACAGTGATGACGATGGCGATGACGATGATAACGATGGCAACGACGATGATGATGATGATGACGATGATGATGGTGATGATGATGACAGTGATGACGATGGCGATGACGATGATAACGATGGCAACGACGATGATGGTGATGACGATGATGATGGTGATGATGATGATAGTGATGACGATGATGATGATGGCGATGATGATGACGATGGCAACGACGATGATGATGACGATGATGACGATGGTGATGACAATGGTAATGACGATGATGATGACGATGATAATGATGTAGATGATGGTGATGACGACGACGATGATAATGATGATGGCGATGATGACGATGGCAACGACGATGGTGATGACGATGATTTCCATGGTGACGACGATGACGATGATGACGACGACGATGATGGCGGCGATGATAACGATGGTGATGGCGACGATTACAGTGACGATGATGACGACGATGATGACGACGACGACGGCGACGACGGCGATGATGACGATGGCAATGATGACGATGACGACGTTGATGATGGTGATGATGATGATGGTGGTGATGACAGTGGTGACGATAATAATTACATTCATATCAAAGCACCGTACAGGGCACGGCATGAAAACAATGATATTCTAAACACACTTTTTACAATCCAGTCACGAAACGAACTCAAATTTCAATGAGCGGAAGCATTTTAATAGGTTCTGAGATCGCATCTGTCACACGTCCACAGGCTTTGCAGCGAGAGATTCCCTCTTTAGATCTCCCCGGAGGAGCGTCCCGTAGCCTGGGGGCTACACGGTGGACACATCGCGGTCGCCCGCAGACCAAATCCTCTACAGGGGAATGCGGTGAAGCATCTGCATCCCCAGATCTCGGTGACCTTGAGGGGCCGGTATGGGTTGCAGCATGCCAATGATGCAGGCATGGGGCAAAGCGGCTTAATGCTTTGTTACGTTAACAATAGGAACACACGTGAGAGCGGAAGCCATCGCGGGGAGATGTTGCAAATTGATCAGTAGCCTCCTTATCCAGGGGGGGGGAGGGGTTAGACATCGCCCCAAGTCTATGAGCGAGGCGAGACGGGGACACGGAGCAAGCTTCCTCCGCACCCGAGGGGCGGGGAGAAAGGATCGGGCCCCCACCCACCCCACCGGGGGTTGATTTTCCCGAAATGGATGGGGTATGTGAAGTGGCTTGTCGATCCTTGCAAACACGAGCCTCGAAGGACCGATATGGAACATCGCAGATGACCGCCCGCCCGCCCCCCCGCTGCCCCGGGATTTGTGACTTCCCTGTAGCCTCGAGCTCATTCCACACTGAACGGTGAGGCCGACGGGCGACGGATACTTCAGGCCGAGATTTCGGAGCACGAGGAGAGGGCCAAGGGCCGACCTGCTCCCTCCCTCCCTCCCTCGCGACCCCCACCCCACCCCGAGCGACCCCCAAATTGGACAGGCGTGGGAGCAGATGAAAAATCTCCCGCGGATACGAAGCGTTCCCAAATAGCTCGATGAGATCTGAACCGATGGAGAGCATCATTAGACCTTTGCCAGTACCAAAATGTAATAATAGGTCTTCTTTGGTTCTTTCGGTAAAGTCACGTAGAATGAGAATAAAATAATAAATTGATAAAATAAAATAACACAATAATATTCTCACGACGTTTCGGCCACAACACAAGCGGCCTTCATCAGGTGAAGGGAGCGAGACTGTCTGGTAGGACAGCGCTGGAGTGAGAGAGCCACGTTCAGATCACGGCTTTTTAAGCTGTGTGAGAGGAACAAAGAGCCTTGACGAAGGAATTAGCATAAAATTTAGCATTGAAATGGCTGAATGATTAGCTTGTGACTGGTCACAGAAATAGCTATGTTAAAAGTTAAAGCATACACATCCGCAGAGGCACCCATTGTTAAAAGGAATTAGCATAGAATTTAGCATTAAAATAGCTAAATTAAGGCATACACATCCGCAGAGGCACCCCTTGATAATGGGATTAGCATAGAATTTAGCATTGAAATGGCTGAGTGATTCGCTTGTAACTGCTACAGAAATAGTTACGTTGAAGTCAGAGCATACACATTCACCGAGGCACTTAGTACAAATCAAACAGGAGAATTTAGCATTGAAATAACTAGGCGAATTTAGCATTGAAATAACTGGGTGATTTGCTAGTGACTGGTCACAGAAATGACTACACATCTGAGCTATTCACAGTACTATATAGTGAACCAATAAAAACTAAAATATAAATTACCTTCATGTTATCAATAAACTCTATATTCTCCAATCAGCTAAGCTACCAACCATAAGTCGTTATATATCACAATGCTATATGGCGAAAAAAATGGGTGGATTCTTACCCTCAAATTTCCGTACCACGGATAGCTACGGGCCCCGTTCAGACGGACGAGTTCGTCCATGGTCGGAACAGAGGAGGGGGAGAGAGACAGCTGCGAAGCCCTAGTATACTCCATGTTGTAAACCATACCATTAACCGTGGTGTGAGAGGTATTAAGAGGCAATGCTGGCGAAAGAGCTGCGGTCTGAAGGTCATCGTAAAATTACAATTAATTAAGAACAGAAATGATTTAACACATCTTTCCAGTGGTTACTAAGCCTGAATCCATCTTCTCGGTTGAAATTGTCTCTGTGCTTGTATATGTGAATGGCCTCATGAACGAATCTCTCATGGTAGCCAGTTGGTTTGCAAAGAACCTCCGTCTTGGAGAAGTCAATGTCATGTGAGCCCACTGAATTGTAACAGTGATCTGCCACGGCAGAGGAGTTCGTCTTACCGTGTTTCAAGTCTGCTTTATGTTCGCGGATGCGGTCCGAGATATGTCTTTTGGTTTCTCCAATGTAGCTACTACCACAGAGGCACTTTAGTTTGTAAACGCCCGGGTATTGTATGTCTGGAAGAGCATCTTTTACAGATGGAACTAAATCACGGATTTTGTGTACTGTGTTGAATCGGACCTGGATCTTGTGTTTATTCAGGATTTTGGAGATCTTTTTAGTGACCCCTGCAATGTAGGGTAAGGTGATGGTTTTGAGTGGCTCCACAAGAGGATCCTTCTTCATGACTGGAGTGATGGCTTTGCGGATTGTGTAGTCGGAGTAGCCATTAGCCCTGAGAGCCTGGTGTACGTGCTTGAGTTCACTGGTAATGTGTTCCTGGTCGGAAATGCATTGGGCTCTATGGTATAGAGTCTTGATGAGGCAGTTCTTCTGGGATGGATGGTGGTGGGAATCCGGTTTCAAGTAAGCATCTGTATGGGTAGCTTTCCTGTAGACAGAGTGGCTCATTGAACCATCATGTCTCCTTTTAATTAAGACATCCAGAAAGGGTAGTTTGCCATCTTTTTCGACCTCCATGGTAAATCTGATGGCTGGGTGTATGGAATTGATGTGGTCGCGGAATTGGTCTAGAGCAGGCTGGCCATGTGGCCAGATGACAAAGGTGTCATCAACGTACCTCTTCCATAAGGTCGGGCGTAGAGTGGCAGTCTGGATGGCGTCAGTTTCAAATTTTTCCATGAATACGTTGGCTACAACCGGAGATAGGGGGGAGCCCATTGGGGTGCCCTCAGTTTGTTTGTAGAAAGTTCCATTCCAGGTGAAGTATGTGTTGGTTAAGCAATGTCTCACCAGGGGGGGTACATCAGTATGCAGTCCTTGATGAACCAGGTCTTCAATGATAGCGATGGTGTCAGGTACCGGGACTTTGGTGAACAAGGACACCACATCAAAACTGACAAGCAGGTCGTTTGGGGACAGGGAAATGTCTTTGATTGTCGATACCAGGTGAGTAGAATTTAGTACCGCAGAGGTGGTTTTTCCAGTGAAAGGTCGCAGTATATCAGCCAGAAAACGTGCCAGTTTGTAGGTGGGGGAGCTGATAGTAGAGACGATGGGACGAAGGGGTGTATCTTCTTTGTGTATCTTTGGAAGGCCATATAATCTTGGTGGTCTGGCAGCAGAGGGTTTCAACAAGAACTGTTTGTTCTCATCAATTAATGCTGTTGAATCAGAGATAATTTTGTTCGTTTTGGTGACCAGGCTGTTGGTGGGGTCTCTTTTTATGTTTGTATAGCTGCCATCGTTGAGTAGTTCTTGAATTTTGTTGTTATATTCTGTTTTGTCCATGATGACAGTGGCATTCTCATCATTAATTGATGAGAACAAACAGTTCTTGTTGAAACCCTCTGCTGCCAGACCACCAAGATTATATGGCCTTCCAAAGATACACAAAGAAGATACACCCCTTCGTCCCATCGTCTCTACTATCAGCTCCCCCACCTACAAACTGGCACGTTTTCTGGCTGATATACTGCGACCTTTCACTGGAAAAACCACCTCTGCCGTACTAAATTCTACTCACCTGGTATCGACAATCAAAGACATTTCCCTGTCCCCAAACGACCTGCTTGTCAGTTTTGATGTGGTGTCCTTGTTCACCAAAGTCCCGGTACCTGACACCATCGCTATCATTGAAGACCTGGTTCATCAAGGACTGCATACTGATGTACCCCCCCTGGTGAGACATTGCTTAACCAACACATACTTCACCTGGAATGGAACTTTCTACAAACAAACTGAGGGCACCCCAATGGGCTCCCCCCTATCTCCGGTTGTAGCCAACGTATTCA